ATGAAAGTGTGGTGAGACTTCTCCTCATACCCTTCTATTTATAGCCTCTAAACTCCTAAAACTCTTAGGCATGTCTTCAAACTGTCTCCCACGTTAGAGTCAACCAAATCTCAGTTAAAACTTCTAAAAACCAAAATTTGCATATGTTTTTTTAACTGTCGCGCTTAAGCGTCGGATATTGGAGCTTAAGCGTCGATGCTCAATTTAGCACAAGTCAACTTAACGTCCAAATACACGTTCTACCATGTCTAAGTCATCTTTTAAGGTCTTAGAATAATCACTAAATTATTATATATTAAATATACTACGAGAATTTTCTAAATTACACAATAATATAACAATAAAAACAAACACACCGATAACTATGGGTTGCCTCCCACAGAACGTTTGGTTCAATGTCGTCAGCCCGACGTAACCAGTTATTCTGGTTGACCCAACATCATAAAATCATTTAATTTAATTTGGTCACCTAAAAAGCAGGACTTCAGCCTGTGACCATTCACTTCAAATATTTTATCAGTTTTAGGATCTTTGATATCCACAGCTTCATAAGGATAAACTTTCATCACAACAAATGGGCTCATCCACCTGAACTTAAGTTTGCCTTGGAAATAATCTTAGCCTTGCATTATAAAGCAACACTTGATGCCCTGGCTGAAAATTTTTAGCAAGAATCCTTCGATCATGCCACATCTTCTTCTTTTTTTTTTTTGTAAATCTTAGAACTTTCATAAGATTCATTCTTTATCTCTTTTCATTCTTCATAAGATTCATTCTTTATCTCTTCAAGCTCATTCAATTGCAATAATCTTTTCTCACCAGTATCTTTCAAATTGTAATTAGATTCTTTTATAGTCCAATATTCTTTATGCTCAAGTTCAACTGGTAAGTGACACAGTTTTCCAAATATTAGCCTGTATGGGGACATTCCTATAGGAGTTCTATATGTAGTCCTATAAGCCCACAAAGCATAATCAAGTTTGACTAACCAATCTATTTTAGTTAGATTCATAGATTTTTTCAATATTCTAATCCCCAAACATCAAATATCTCAATTTACCATACATAATTGAGGGGCATCTCAAACCTCCTAGAAATATTGCCTACTCATTGACATTGATCACAAGTTTTGATATGTGTTAACATCTCTAAAGATTGTAGGCTAATAAAATCCAGATTGTAAAATTTTGAATGTTATTTTATCAACACTAAAATGTCCCCCAAAATCAAAATTATGATATTTTTAGATAATTTCATAAGTTTCTTCTAAAGGTACACATCTTCGAATAATAAGATCATTTCCTTGTTTATATAAAAACGGGTCATCCCAAAAATAAGTCTTAGCTTCAGATAAAAATTTCTTCTTCTATTGGTATGTCATTCCATAGAGTATAATTTCACTAACAATAAAATTCACAATGTCGACATATCATAGAACACGCCACTCAGTAATATTGAACAATTTTTCATCTTGAAAATGTTGATCAATTTCCTTTTCAAAGCTGAGTGATTTCTCTAATTCAATTTTGGATAGATGATCAGCTATTTGATTCTCAGCTCCCTTACGATTATCTACTATTTCAAAGTCAAATTCATGCAAAAGAAGAATCCGTCTCATAAGTCTTGGTTTTACATCCTTATTTTTCATTAAATACTTAATAGCGGAATGATCTATATGCACTATACATTAAGTTCCAATTAAGTATGATCTAAATTTATCATTAGCATATACTACTGCTAATAACTCTTTCTCAGTTATGGTATAGTTAATTTGAGTCTTATTAAGAGTTCTATTAGCATAGTTGATAAATTTGAAAATCTTAGCATTATTTTATTCTAAAACAGCTCTAATAGTATAATCACTAGCATCCCACATCAATTCAAAATGTTTTCTCAATCTGGTGAAACAATAATTGGTGCAGTGACTGATTTTTCTTTTAATAATTCAAAAGGTTTTAGGCACTCTTTATCAAAATTAAAAATTACATTTTTTCAAGTAAATGACATAAAGGCTTAGCAATTTTTTAAAAGTCTTTAATATATCGCCTATAGAATCCAACATGTTCTAAAAAACTCCTAATTTCCTTCACACTTGTTGGGTGAGGTAAATTAACGATCACTTGAATTTTGCAGGGTCTACTTCCATACCATTTTCTGAAATTTGATGTCCCAAATCTATTCCTTCTGCTACCATAAATTGACATTTTTCCATATTAAGGACTAAATTTGTTTCTTCACAGCGCTTAAAAACATTTGATAAATTTTCTAAACATGATTCAAATGAAGTTTCAAACACTAAAAAATCATCCATAAAAACTATAATATGTAGAGTAGGACCACTTCATCATCCGCAAAACAACCAGAACTATAATATTATTCACAATTGCCTTGACTTTGAATAGATATTGATTCAAGGTTTTGTTGCTCATTGCAAGTTGGTGAAGCTTATGTCTTTAAGATGTTGTTCGATGGTTGCCTAAATGTCTGAGCATGAAGTGAGATGCAAGATATTGGGAATGACAGGTGCTGTTATTATTAGGTGGAGCAATGACAATGATTTGATCGATAAGCATTCGCATACTATGCAATGGATTGGGATTAATTTGCTCTATTGAACCCATTGTCATTTTACTTGGAATAGAATTGATTCATCCAAAAGCTGTCAGCCATTGGCAGTAAATATTTTGAGGAAATGAGATCCCCACAATGAGCAAATCATCAAAGTTGGGCATTAACCATTGATTTCATATTTGTATCAGAAGCATAAGGGGTTGTTTGGGATCACTTCTTATTTTTTATTTTTGTTTTCAATAAACAGAAAAATAAAACAAAGAACATTTTTTTTTGTTGTTTTTTTCTAATCTTTTTTACTTCATTTTTAAATAAAAAAGTATTTTACTTTAAAAAAATACAGCAGAAAAAACATATATTTTTATGTTTTCAAAACAACTCCCACCATCCCAATTTAGACCTTAGTGACTTCTTCGACGATGACGATGACACTGATGACTTCAATGTAGACATGTTGACGTCTGCCAAAGCCAAGCCTACTTTGTCGGCGACGTTGACGTCAACCCCCACGGACGCCATCTCCCCCAACATCACCGCTTACACCATCTCAATTTAGTTCCCCTGCCGAGCTCAGACTCCTTGTTAATCCTTTTCCACTCCCTGCTTCTTCCTATAAGGGCTCTGAGATCGTCTGTGTTGAACAACCTAATCTCAAGAATTCCTATCCGGATAACTGAGGCAATAGAGAATCTCAATGATCTGAGATTGCCCGCGTTGAAGTCACTATGAATTAAACATTGGATGGAGGCGTCGTGGTTCACCAAAGGGAAAGCGGGGTGAGAGATTCAGATGAGGGCGGTTGAGGGGACACCAACGAAGGCAGTGTAGTCAAGCAGGTAGGCTGCGGCCTCACGATCACCAGAGCAAGAGCCCAAGCCTCCGACTACAGGAAGGCACCGAAGTGATGGAGAACGAAGAGGAGGAGGTGGAAGGAGTAATTATATTTCATGTTTTTTTTTTTGTTAATTTTAAAAAGAAAACAAAAAAATTTACCAAGTATGTTTATGTTTTAAATTAAAATAAAAACAAAACATAAATAGAACAAATTGAAACCAAAAACAAAAAGAGAAAGTAAATGATCCCAAATAACCCCAAAGAAAATGACGACAAATATAATGGTGGCCGAGATTGAGAGCTGCTTGATCCTCGCATAAAGTGACCAATTGATCCATCGCAATATGGCGTGAAGATGAGAGCAAAGTTGCTATTTCTCTGATGCACCAATGAAGGAAATAGAATGACTGTACAAAGAAGTTCAACAGCAATTGGACTACAGAAGGAGATGCAGAGAATGCAGCAGTAGGTACAACTACTCGTGTTTCATTGGGTTCTTGACACTGTACTACACCGTTTTATAAGCTTAGTAGGGATGGACTGCAATAGAACCTGTGTTTGTTTTCTGTGTGAATGCAAATTGCAGGAATTGTTCGTATAAGATAGCTAAGATTGATCTCAAGTAGTAAGTGCATTACAAGTTTTGGCCAGATTTGGTGACACGTATGCGGTTAGTCTTTAACCAATCAATTGATTTGTTTCTCCCATGCATCCGCAGGGGTTAATCTTATAAAACAGCATTTACATACATACCACCCAATTCTTATTTATTTACATATCTAACTCCTAAATTTTTCTTTTTTACATTAATCTCACCGAAATCATTCAAATCACATCAAAACTACCATCATAACTTTTAAAAAGTGAAATACAACTTTGTTTCTTATAGCTAGTTTAAGAGCAGCAATGAAAATCCAAAACCAAGGGCTGATTTGGTTAATAAAAAGAATAAGCGCTCTGAAAGAATACTGATTTCATTAACTCTTATATTTGGAAAAAAATATTCACCACATTTGAAACAACTTTTGCAGGGTTTGGAGTTTAAAACTAACGTTGATTTTGAATCACATCGAAGTGAATACTTCAATTTAGGACTTGTTTGGGATCAATTTTATTTTCCATTTCTATCTTATTTATATATTTATTAAAGCATGTTTATTTAGTGTGTTTTTTACAATTTTTTCTTTTTCATTTTAACATATTTTTTAAAAACATTGGAATAAAAATAGAAACAAAATAAAATAAAAAAATAAAAGTGATCTCAGATGGCCCCTTAGCTTTAAACGACCAAACGAGAATTAAAACCAGAAATTACCAAATAAAAAAATACCCATCACAATCAAAGCTTATTTGGCTATTCATATGTTTTAACACGTCTGGGACAGCATAAATTGGCCAATAGAAAGTTAAAACGATAATAATAGTAATTAGTCAACAAACAGTACAGGTACAGGCAAATTATTTTTTCCTTTCGTTACATATAGAAAATTAAACATCAAGCTAAACAGTAACGACCACGGCGTGCCAAATTGAAAGATGAAAAAAATCTTACATCGCTTTTGCTGTGGTAGCATCGACGACCTGTAATTCAAATTGGCATTATAACAAGGTATGCCTCAATAAATTCTTAACAAAGATAGATGTAGCTGCAATCCATTTCACATGCATTACATTCGCTCATTTTTATGGCAATAAGACATAAGAAAATGAAAATATTACAAGGAGAAATATTATGATGAGAGGCCAGCTATTTTGACAAGTAAAGAGATTTTAGAGTTATCACTCATATTCTTGAGGATGCAGTTTTCCTCGGAATTCTGAATGGGAGTACCTGATCAGATTTTATGAAGTCTAGAACAAGAGAAGCCAGCTCTGCTTGCCATGCAGTATAGCAATGGTCAGCACCTTCAATGATATGAAGCTTGTGGTTGGGTATGACTTTGTCGAACTCAAAGGCATCTTCTGAGGGTACAATTTCATCTGCTGATCCATGGATTGTCATAACCCTGCACGCCATGAGTATGATTATGAAATAGTATATAGGAGAGCCAAAAAAAGTGTCCAAGTAGTCCCCTGACTTCTTGCAGGGAATCATTTTAGTCCTACAGTGACAAGGGAGCTTCCAGCAGGGGAGTTTTTGTGACCCCTACTACAGCACTGCTACAGTACCACAAGATAGACCGGATGGGAAAAGCTCTTAGCGACTTGGGACCAGTCAGAACAGCGAATTGAGGGCCGACGACCGACCTTCCTTGTGTGGATTTGGCGCCTCCTTTCAATAGTGGGCCTAATCATAATTACCTAGGGCTTATATATTTGATTTTTGTATTTAGGTTTTTAATTTTCTTCATGTTTTCTGTGAGGGTAGCCGTCATAGTCTAGGTTTTTCTTCTAGGGCTGTATCTGAGGGGGAGTGATGCTCCTGTTGCATCTAGTTCCGAGTTGTGACACTCCTTCAAGGGTCGAGTGGTGCTCCGGTTGTATCTCGCTCCCGAGGTAAATTTATCCTTCTCCAACTCCTCTGCATCCCTTCCGCTTCTCTACCGAACATTCCTCCTCGCTGCAGCCGCCCCAACAGCCACATTACAACTGTATTCCTGCAGTTCATGCTCTCCCAACTGCAGCCTGCTCACTACCGGCCATCCAAAATCATTCCTTCGGCACCTCTGCTTTTGTCCCAGCGCCCGCAACCTTCTCTCCACCTTCTCCCAGCATTTTGCCTCATCACCGCAGCCTTGCTGTCCACTGCTGTCCCCATCACCCGAAAACCTCCCTCCACCTTCTCCCAGCCTTCTGCCTAATTGCCACAGCCCCGTGAGCCACTCGCCGTGCTGTCCACTGCAGCCTCGCTGCTGTTTCAGCACTTCCCCAGCACTGCCATTGCCATTCCAGCAGCCCAACACCATTCCCGTGCCGTCTTGCTGCAGTCCCAGCCACTAGAACCACCTCCCCGCAGCTTAGCTGCTATTCATGCTGCCCATAACACCCCTAGCATTCTTTCTTCTCTTCCCAATCCACCTACCCCCTTGCTACTGCTTTTCCAAGCCCCTATCGTCCACCGGCCACCATCACCCGAGATCCAAGTGTTTGCATAGTTTTTGTTGCTATTCCAGGTTTGGATGTCGTGTGTTATATTTTCCCTTTCAAGTGTGTTAGTTGTAACCTCCTATTTGCTTTTAATAGTAATATTTTTTTTCTTGCGATTTGAGTTAACTCCAGTATCATGTAGTTTATAAAAATGTCACTCTACTCCACAGACATTTTTAATAAGGGTTGAAATAGTCCCCACGGAGAACTATTTCAGCCCTAATTTAAAGAGTCAGGGACTAATTTGATACTTAAATAGGCTCTATTACTACAAAATGGACCCATGTATATTGTATACAATCAGGGGGCTATTTTGACAATTTCTTCTATGAGAACCGTATGGAAAATGACTAACAAAGAAGCGTTAGAAACAAACATGGAAATGCATGCTCCATAATAAAGAGCCAACGTAATAAGTGCACCAAAATTCGGATGCAACATTCAGTGAAAAAGTTAGAACAAGTATTACAACAAACAAGGAAAAGCAAATGGCAACTTCGTATAATAAAGACGTGAGAGAAATTGTGAGCATAAATGATGGCAAGTCAGCGTGCAAGCAAATAAAATTAACAACACCACCATTATTAAAGAAAAAAATCAAATTATTACGAAAATAATATTATCATAAGGAAACAAAAATTTCCTAAGCAATATGACGTGGCATGATTACAAATTGTGCTAGCAAGTGGTGTAATGGCATATTTATCTATCATGCTTGAAGGTGATTATTGAGTCATAGTATGTGAAGAAATTAGTTCACTAACACTTGAAATAACGTAACATGAACGGCAATCGCTTGGAGAAACACAAAAGATTGGATATCTAAATGGCCAAACACAATGAAAACATAATGGGTCCGAAACCAGAAAAATGAGCCCGCCATGCAACCACTTTAGTTAGAAGAAAATAACTTGAAAGCAAACACCATCAAATGACTTCTCAAAGACTTATAGTGTAAGCATATGATGCCAAGGCAAAACTTTTGCTTAAGAATAACCTGCATTTCTTATCAATGGCATGGCATGCTGCACGCATGTCTGTGGTTAGACGATCCATCAAGCTTTCTTCTGTCACCCGGTATTCAAATTTTCCTGCCACAAATAAAGCCTTAATAAGATAGCAAAAGACTGACATCAATTAGTATCAAAGAATTGATGATTGAAAACAAAAGAAAGTTTTTCGGGATCGAAGTTTAAAGCTTTAAAGTTGTCATATGGTAGACTGCACCGTCATTTAAAATAAGGAAAATAAATCCTAAAAATCAATATAAAAGATCGCACTTTCCTAGCAATTATTCACCATAATTTGAGTAAAGTAGTAGTGCATCCTTGCAAATGGATCTGGCTAATACTTTCCTGCATCTCAGCATAATAATTAAAGTTGTTAAGCTATCATTTGTGAATGACATCATAATCAACCATTGCTTGTTTCCCAACACCGTTTATATAGACCATACTGTGTTTCCTCTTCATTGAATTTGAAATGACAGGACAAATTTTTGCCCATGAAAAATAGATACTTCAGCAAAGATTTCCAAGTCTCTAGCATACATGAAACCCTCCAATATTGTATTACAACAGCTTAAAATCAAGTAAATTTTTTTTTATATGCACAAATTTCAAACATGCCCAACATGGCAGGGCTCTAGCCCCAACACATAATTTTTTTAATATAATATATGAACAATACTCAGCATTCAGACCTATTATAATTTTGCACCCACTATGATTCATTTTTTTTTTGGCATTCAATGGAGAGAAGGTAATGACCACGTCAAAGAAAATAGCAAGTCTAATTATTTATGCTTATGTCAACGAGTGCTTTGCCAACAGCGTATATGAAATGATATCTAAAGCAATATTAATTTATACATCGATTATGTTTTCAAAATTGTATATAATTTATGTTTGGTGTGCTTAATGTAAAATGTTGATATTGTATACCAGGAAAAGTGTATTTTATGATGACAATGTGAAGGAACTCGCCCAAATAAAAATAAAACCATTATGGTCCAAGAAAGACTGGCCCAAGTGAATCAACATCTTGCTTAATCCAAGGAAGCACTTGATTAATTCAAAGGCTTTCACTTAGATCAAAGGCAATAGCTCAAAAGAGCTCATCCAGCCCAGAGGAACTACACCAAGACAAAGCAACTCCCCCTGAAGTTATGGAAGAAGCCCAACAGCATCAATTCAGACTAGTGATCTCACCTATTATATCAATGAACTCATTAACTCAGTCATAGCAGCCATCTTGGCATCCGAGAAGACAATCAATCATGCAAACTATCCAGGTTTTGATTATTGTGCAACATGTCAGTAAAAAAACAATTATGTATTTATTTATTAGTTCACCTTGTGCAACTTCACTTGCAGCGCTAATAAAACCACAATAGAGAGTCAAAACGGGCATTTAAGACAAGTCATCTATAGCACACTGACTTTTAGATTGTGGTGAATAAAATTCTATTGACTTTTTATACTTGCGCTAGACCTATTTTCTCCTCTTTCTCATCTCTCTTATCCTTGATCTCATTGAAAGCTGCGAATTCTGCAAGCAGGGTTCTCACATCATCATGGGTGGATTTTAATCCAACATCTTTTCAGGTAATGGAAATGTAAAATGATGATAAAATTAGAATTCAAACGCCACGGGAAGCCGATCACCTCGAAACAAAAGCATCTCAGACAAAAGAGGGAGAGGAATTTGTGACCAACAGTCCACTTGCCCAGATGGAGGAAACGATCACTTGTATGGTCTAAGAAACTCCAGAGCATGCTTTTTACACACCCAAAAAAGGAGGAGACACTGAAAGGCTCCCCAAATTCCATCATGGGAAGATAGCACCTCAAGCATCAGTTCACTAACTTCTACGCTAGTTGTGAATGAAATTCAATATCCAATTAGTGATGTGGAATTGACTCACTGATCAAAATGAGCTGAAAAGAGGCCCGAACAAACAAACACTATTTGCAAGGAGATCATAGAAACCAAGTCCCTAGTGAAACTCAAGATCCCCCAATCAGAGCCACATATTGGAAAAAACGATCCAGCTAAACATGTGGCATACTTTAAGTAATCTATCTCACTGCTTGAGGAAATGATGCTAAGCAGTGTCATTTGTTTTTTCTACTAGTTTCAAACAATTGTCCCTCCAATATTTCTTTCGCATTTTATTGGAAGTTATCACCTCCTCACAAAATTGAAAAGGATATTTATCACCCAATTAACCAGCACCAGCACTTGGAGAACCTTGAAGAACTTGCAGGCTCTCCTAAAAATGAGAGGTTTGTAAAATAAGACCCTTGGGAACCTCATAGTGAGGCTCTAGTGAGATGTTAGAAGTCAAAGACATTGAACCGGCTCCCTCGCCCAAGACCAATGAGAAGGACCATTTAAATATGCACTCAAACCAAAAATATCAATCAAGGAGCTAAAACTTACCAATAATCATGCTAATGTGGAAAAGTATGATGTAGTTGGGCCCTCCAGATCAAGTCTCTAGAGAGATGCCCCAACAAGGAGAAATTTGTAGCGAGTCTTGAATGATGATAAGAGTCGACCTATATTCAAAGGGCAAAGAAAAAGTCATATTTTCTATTAATATACTATTACTTCAATCAAAGAACTTAAGGCGCACAGATTTAGGCTTTGTACTATTAGATTTATCTATGACCATTGGATTGCAATCCGTGTGCTATTCCAATCATAAAAAAGAGCTTAAGACACAAAAATCAAAGCTTTGCACCGTTGAATTTGTTTCTATAAGAATATTGGATTGCAACCCGTGTGTTTTCCTTTAGGATTATTGGCCTCTATTATTTTCTCTCCTTTTTCTATTTATTCCTATTTTATAATGCCACTTAAAATTGTATATATACATTCCCTTGTCGACCTCATTTTGAGATCATTACTCTTTTCCTTAGGATTCTAGGTTCTAGCTCTAGAAGTTCCTATTGACCATCTTAGAAAATTAGAATTGGACCCACCCTTTTTAGAAATTCCAGCCATCTCCTATTTCACTTGTGATGTCTCGCCTGAATGGTCTCAAACCATCGTCCTATCATCGAGTGGTAAAGGACTATCATGTGAAGGCTAAAGGAGAAGTTCCTAGTAGGATCTCAAGCCCTAGGAAAACCACTTCAGGACTTTATCATCACACATGCACACCAGATGCACGAAATTCACTAAGGGCCCGTTTGGGGCAGCTTAAAACTGCGGCGGCGTTTTTGAAAACGCCGCCTTCATGTTTGATTCACACGTTTTGATTGCGTTTGTCAAAACACGATTTACAGCGTTTGATTTTTTCTATTAGACGCCGATCGCGGGTATAACCCCGCGATCCAGCGTTTGACAGAAGTATTTCTGCGCTGCCCTCGAACCCGATCTACCGAAGGAAGCCGCTGCTCTCTGCCGAAGGAAGCCGGAGGCGGCGCTGCGTCCGCGCCCGGGATCAGTTCCTTCTTTCCCCCGATCCCGATCCATTCAATTCGCGAAGCCCTTCCCTTCATCGATCGTCTGAACCGCGTGTTCTTCAGCCCCGATCCTTCTATCCGTGAGGATCTCTCTCCAACTGTGAGCAAGATTCTTTTCCTTCCTCCAGCCATTCAAGCTACAGAGATTTCTTTCTTTTCCCCAATCAAACCGCAAGCAACACGAATTGGTAAATCCAAATCCCTATTTCCTTATTTGATTGCATATAATTGTTTGTGATTTTTTTTTTTTGCATTTTTTATGTGTAAATCATAAGTGATAGGGTTGAGATTCATTTCTTTTCTTTTACTTTTTTTTTGTGATTCACAAAGAAAAGAAATTAAGTTTGTCTTGCTTTCTTTATTGTTGCATGTATGCGGGATTTTATTCCTCTTTCTAAATTTCCCATTAAATTTTCATTCTTATAAATGTCATTAATCCATCCTTGTGCTTCCTTTGTGATTGTATCATCAACTAAGCGAATAGAATGTTGGTTCCATTTACTTCATAGCTTATGGGTTTTATTTTTCAGAAATTCTAATAGTCTTTTCAACCGTTCATTATTTTCTTTTGGTCTTTAAGGATGATTGAATTGAAATTATTTTTTGTTTTGGTTCCATTTACAAATTCCTTTTTTGAGACTATTGAAAGTAAAATTTAAGTTTTAGATATGTAAATACATAGGAATTTAGTGGTATGAGTGTAGAAATAAAAGTTTTGATGTGAGATATGTAAATCCATAAGAATTGAGCGCTATATATATGTAAATGCTTCTTTTTTTATATGTTGGTTTAGTATATATTTTTGGATTTTAGTACATTAAATGTGTTCAATTATATTACTGTTGAGAACAGCTCCATTGTATGTGGCCAAAATAATCATTTTTCCACAAACAACTGCAAATCAGTTGTTCTAAAACCGCAAAAACCAAACAGCGTAACTGTTTATTCAGTTTAGGGGCAAAGTTGTCATTTATCCAGAAACAACTGCAAATCAGCTGTTTTCCAAACGCACAAACCAAACAGTCAGACAGCTTTTTCGGATCAGCTGTTCATCAGCAGATTATCAGAATCAGCTGCTTATCAGCAGAAGCTGGATAAGCTGCAGCTGCCCCAAACAGACTCTAAGTCGCACAAAATCAGACTTAAATTGAGCTTAAGGATGGGTGAAAATGTGAACTTCTCCGGACAGCCTCCGAGAACAAAATGGACTGTGCCAACGCGTCTGGGACACCAATTTTAGTAGGAAATGACACCCATATTGCCATATTTTCGACACGAGCAAAATTGCACACAAATCGATGAATTCGTCAAAATGACCTCTGGTGTTGAAACGGACAACGTCAGCACGTCTAGAACATCGAAATTACCAAAAAAGGACATTCAATTTTTTACAACCTGACGCACGAATAAAAAAGTATGGATCGAATTTTATTTTTCAAATATGAAATATTTTTATATACTTATATCATTATTTATAATCTTAATTATAACCCTAAACCCTCTACCCGCACATTTAGCTCCTCGTTTGACCCATCCCGCAGCTCGATCAGCCGCTTGGCTCGTCCCTCTTCGTGCCCTCAATTCCATGGCTGATCCACGCGGCAATCTCCCTCTCT